CTCCACTGGAAGCCTTCCCTGAGCACTGCCTGTGTTGTTTCTATGGCCTGCGCAGCATATATAGATTTTGTGTATCTCTTACTCCTCCCACCCCCAAGAATGCCAGCTGCCCCACATCATCTTGCCAGTACACCTACACAGCAACTGTTACATAGTACTGAGTCTTGATTCACCCACACATGAGAAAGTCAATCAATGAATGAATGGATGGGGCTGGGTATGTAGCTTAACGGCATAAGCGCTTGCCTGGCAAGCCTGAGGTCATGAGTTCGATTTCCGGTACCAAAAAACAACAACAAAAACAAAATGAATGAATGGATGGACGGATGCGAGTTTCTGGCCCATGGACGGTGCTTTGGGTGCATGGCTGGGGAACCAGGGAGAAGCCTGGGCCTCCCCTCCCCCGTTATCTGAGACCATCAGAGGGGAGCAGCACGGCAGGGATGTTGCCGATGTCTCCCCATACACCCTTCGCATTTCCAGCTTTTCACATTTTCTCCTGCACTTCCTTCCTGCCTCTGCTGCTGCTTTTGTCTGCTGAAATCTCACTCAGCCTTCAGGGACCTACTCAAAGCCATCTGCTTCGGATTTTTACTTGAGTCCTTCAGAAGAATTGGCTCCTTCCCCTGAATTCTGCTTTCTCTCTTCTATCTCTCTGTGCAGTATAAACACCTGTCTCCTCTGAACTAACCAGCTGGAGGACAGAACATCTGCCAGTAACCCTGGCGCAGAGGGAAGGCTCTGGGATGGAAGGAGGTAGAAGGCTGAGCTGGATGGGCATGAAGAAGGCAGGGAGAGGGAGTCATAATCGGGGCATCTGACTTCCTGCACAGTCTCATGCAGAGATCTCAAAACCAGGTTCCAGTCTCAACTTTTTTTCTAGATGGGACATTGCTCCGGCACTCTGGGCCTCAGTTTACATGTCTGTGAAATGGAGAAAGCAGTGGTAATCTCACAGTGACACGGACACTTTTGTGAGAAATAAGTGAGCTAATAATGCTTTGAAGTGCTTGACTGAATTTAAAGCATGCAAAATATACTCAATGCATATCAACCATTATTACAGATACAGGTCTGAGCTTAGTCTTGGGCTCCTTTCTATGCCGGGCTATGGGCCTAAGCTTGGGGTCTCATTACAGATGGCAGAGACTCAACAGGAATTCAAGAAAGGATCTTCTCTGCTCACATCTCTTCCTTCCTTCCTTTATTCACTCAACAAGTATTCTTTGGTACATCTGCTATATGCCAGGGCCTAAGAGTATGCATAGAACAAGACGAAGTCCCTGGCTTCCTGGGCTTCTGTTCTAAGGCAGGTGGAAAGTAAACAAATATACAACCTCCAATAATGAATGTTCTATAAACAGAATATCAGAGGTATTAATGAAGGCTGACTGTGGTTTCCAGAGAGGCTTTTCTGAGCTGGATTTAAGTGGAAACCCGAGAAACACAAAAGAGGCACTGGGGCGAACAGCATAGGCAGGGACTGAGCAATTGGAGGAGCGGGGTGGGAGCGGGAGGGGGAGCCGCAGAGCTGGTGGAGGAGCCGCAGGAGGCAGAATGTAGAGGGTGGAGCTGTAGGGACTCAGGGCTGTGCTGAGAGGTTTGGATTTAATTCAAAGTTGGATGGGAGGGCGGTGTGGGGTTGTAAACAGCGATGTGTACGTAGGATCTCAGGTTTTGAGATGATCACCCTGATTGTGGGTGACAAAGGTTTGGGGAGGAAAAGGACAGGTGAGAAGTGACAAGGCAGGGTACAGATGGTTTAATTTAAATTTTTTCAATTTAGGATTTTTTTTTTTAACTTCATGATAGTGTGAAAGCAACATGCACTTCACAATAAGCATACTGCTGGCTTCAAAATGTGATCACTCCCCAAGCCAGTGAGAGCCTGTCTGGTGATCCTGAGCAGTGGCAGCGGGTGGCAGCCTCCTCAGCCTCGAGATCCCCAGGGGACACCCTTGCGCTACAGTGCTCTACATGCAGTGCCTAAGCTGGGAGGGGCGGCAGGTTGGGTGCCTTGCATATATTTTCTACTTACGAAGTTTCAATGTAACCCATAAACTCACCCTATTTCAGGGACATCTGCAGTGTTCTGGGGACAGTGAGTACCTAGGACCTGCTGGTGCATGTGGAGCTGAAGGACAGCAAGCACTCTAGAACGACTTGTGAGTTTTGGGCTAACACCTGCAAGGTAGTGGATTGAAGCATCTCTTGGCAATACTGCAGGAAGAGCCCACTGGAGAAGACTGGGAAGTCAGGTTTTGATTTGGACCTGGAGAAGAGGAGGTTGCCTATCTTGAAAATATGCAAATGGAGAAAGTTTCCAGCGTTAGTTGACTGATATAAGAGTAGATATTAGAAGCTGGGCATGGTGGCTCACGCTTGTAATCCCAGCACTTGAGAGGCTGAGGTGGGAGGATCCTTTGAGTTCGAGACCAGCCTGGGCTACAAAATGAGCTTGGGCCGGGGATATAGCTCAGCATCACAAACACCTGCCCCGCAAGCACAAGGTCCTGAGTTTGATTCCCAGTACCAAAAAAATTTAAAATATACAGTGAGCTCAAGGCCAGCCTGAACTGCATACTGAGAACTTGTCTCAAAAAGACACACACAATAAAGAGTAGATATTAGAGCTGGGGTCACAGATTGGATCTCATTACCATAGAAATGTTTTTCCAGTATGAGACACCGTAAGATCATGAGGTTAGAAGATGGTCGGAAGGGACCCTAGGTAATCCCAACCTTCAGAGTCTGACGGAGGAGGAGCCAGGAAAGGTTGGGAGGAAAAATCAGTAAGGTATCATCAAGCCCAAGAGAAGCCACTGTGGCAAAGAAAGTGCTATGGCAAATTCTGCCAAGGGATTGATGAAAGCAAGGATGGACTGCAGGGCTGGCATCATAAAAAGTGATGAGGACTTAGCTCTTAGAGACAGGAGCTGACCAAGGAAAATGCATGTGCAGTGTGGATGACTTTTTGAGGCTGGCTGTCCTGAGAGAGCGGAAAAGGAAGGCAAGTCTGTTGGGGATGTAGATGAAAGGAGGGTTGGGTTTGTCTTGTTTGCTGTTTAAGATAAGAAGAATTACAGCCTATTTATTTGTTGATGGAAGAGATAAGGAGCCAGGGGAGAACTTGATCATGCAGGAGAGAGATGATCATTTCAGGAGCAGAGTCGCAGGCAGGGGTGGGTATGCAGAGCGCTGGGGAGAGGCTGGCCTCTGAGGACAGGTCTTGGAGTCAGGACAGGGCAGGCAGCATCTGTGGGACGGAGGTAGGCAGTAGTGCTGGATGCAGCAGAAGGAAGGCCGGGCACCTCAAACATCGCATCTGGATCAAGAAGCATGGCTTTTCGCACTATCTGAGGTCTTCCTGCGTGACCTTCGGCAAGTTACTGAAATCTTTCCAGGCTGCACCTCTGCTGGGCCTGGGTGTTGGGGAGGTTATTACACTTGACCCACCCTGTCTGGGAAACTGCTGGTAGATTCCCAGTACGGAGGCATCAATGGCTTTGGCCTGAGCTGATCATGTTAAAGGTCAGCCAGGCCTTGTCACTCCCCATGTGTCAGAGGCCTAAGTACTATGTTACTATGACCCCAGTCCCTTAGCCTTTGGGGACACCATGAACAAAAAGCTTGCATTTATTACCCTATCTGTGACAGAAGACAGAGAAAGGTTCAAGGGGCAGTTCTAGGAATGTAGGGGAGGAAGGAGGACAGGGCCACGGTTCTATTTCAGATCCCATGAGGCCACAGGTTGGGCAGGAGAGAGCACAACTGTGGCGCCAGACCACACACCCCTCTCCGCTACTTCGAACTGTGGATTTGTCAGAGGCAGACGCCCTGTAAGCTTGAGTGCCAGGGCCCAGGGATGCAGCTCACCGGCAGAGCGCTTGCCTGGCATGCATGTTCCATCCCCAGCACCCAGGGACTGGGGGAGATGACCTACAAGACCCTCCGCCTGGATCCTCTGCAAGCCATAGGCTAATTTAGATTTATAATTTTCTGTTCTTTTTCTTACAAAGGGATCTAAAATATAATAACTGAACTCTGTGAAAAGAGAATCTGTCCTGGAACTTTGAATGAAAGCCTTGCTGTCACCTTCTCCATCTGTATGGTGGGACAGCTGGATATGCCTTGTGAGATGGGGAACAGGGTTATTGGGTACGCAGTATGGTTATGCAGTGGAGGTTCAAATGAATGCGAGGTGAAGTTCTGACTTATGCTGGAGGCAGGGGAGGAGGCAGGGACACTGCCCAGGCTGTGTGCATTACAGGAGCCTTCTTCCAGTTTCCACCCTTTTCCTCAGGAGGGACCAGCCTGTGAAACTGAGGGTGAACTTTTCCTTCCATATATATCTATATATATATCTATATCTATCTATCTATCTATCTATATATATATATATATTTTTTTTTGTCATCTTTGAGAAAGGGTCTCAGTATGCAGTTCAGGCTGGCCCTGAGCTCACTTTGTAGCCCAGGCTGGTCTCAAACTCGCATTGATCCTCCTGCCTCAGCCTCGAGGGTCCTGGGATTACATGTGTGCGCCACCATGCCCAGCGCTTTCCTTTTATATTCGTGAAGGCACAGACTGCCCGAGGCTAGTTTCTTCCTACACTCCTTTCTTCTACCTGTAAACCTGGCTATGGATCTCCTTCCCTCTGTCCTCAGATGAGCCCAGTCCAGGGCTGGGTGGACACATGACAAGATCAACTCCATGTGTCACCTCCTGCCTCTGCTTTACAGAACTGGCTTCCTGGTCTCCAGGGATCTTCAATATACTTGAGCAATTTGCAGGGGGGTTCTACTTCTGGCTGCCAAGCAAAAGCTCCCTTTGACTTTTTAAGCCCACAGCCCTTAGGAAGGCAGGAGGTTGTAGACTCACCTTCAGCATGGAAGCGGCGATAAGGTTATGCTGGGTCCTAAGGATGCCGCACTGTTGCCCAGACAGTCCTTCCCCTGCCACCCCTAGAGTTATCTGTTCCTGGAACCCCAAGTCCTTACCTTGGTGGGGACGAGGATGGGCAGAGGCAGCAGGAAAATGGGCAGTAAGAACACAAACAGGTAGGAGCGATAGGCCCACAGGCCCTGCCAGCAAGAGGCCATGGTGTGGACCAACTGGGGCTGCCGGAGCCACTGCCTCCTGGAGCCAGAGAACTGAAGGACCAGAGACACGCCAGCCGACAGGTGGCCCGGGGCAGGCTTATATAAAGCCAGCAAGTGTTAACCATTGACCCACCCTGGCAATCAGAGTGTTTTTGAAGTGGAGGTGGGAGTAAAGAGGAGGGGCCTGCAGGAGGAGGAAAGATCAGGAAGACTTTGCAAAGAAGGGGAGGGGAAAAGACTGAGGAAGAAAAGCTTCAAGTTTCTTCCAGAAGTTAAACCCAGAGTTAACTCCTTCTCTGCACAGAGACTGCTAAGCGCTGTTGCCAAGAAGAAAGGTGCTCAGGGGATCCCCCAGGTGGCCTCCGTGGAGCAGGAGCTCAGGCCCTCCACCCAGCCCAGCCCACTGCAGGTTTTCAGCTCAACAGTTGACAGAGGACCCTGGGACGGGTATCCTGCCTGGGCTACGGAGCTGCCCTGCCCTCCAGACTGAGGGCAGCATGGCTTGGAGCAGGCTCTCCCTCTCCCTCCAGGTGTCAAGGGAACTGTCAAAGTCACCAGTCCTGACAACGTCATACTCACTGTGTGATGTTAATCTACTAGCTTGACCTCTCAGAATAGCCATTTCCTCATTCTGCAGCAATCTGTTTTCTCTCTCTCTTTTTTTTTACTTTATGGAATAAAAAGTAAAAAAAAAAAAAAATTTGATAACAAGCCTGGTGTGGTGGTGCACACTTGTAATCCCAGCACTTGGGAGGCTGAGGCAGGAGGATTGTTGTGAGTTTGAGAACAGCCTGGGCTACAAAGTAAGCTCAAGGCCAGCCTGAACTGCACAGCGAGACCCTGTCTCAAAAAGCAAAAAAAACCCAAAAAACAAAAAAACAAAATAATAGAGTAACAATAGTTAAAGTTAATACAAGCAATCTCTTCTTGTGAGGCTCAAATTAGACAATTTATGAATGTTGACAGTTACCGTGTAAATTTAGTTTCTTCAGCTCTTCCTGGCCCAAATCCCCATGCTGTACCTCGTTCCTCACTTCTATAGGATAAAGGTACCAACTGAGATTGTCCCAGTGGGCATGGAGGTGCATGTCTATAATCCCAGAACATTGGGAGGCTAAGGCAGTGGGATTAAAAGATCAAGCCCCACCTGGGTAACTCAGTGGTTTATTTTTTATCTTTTTGTCTTTTTGAGACAGGGTCTCACTATTCAGTTCAGGCTGGCCTTGAGCTCACTTTGTAGCCTTGGCTGGTCTGAAACTCACAAAGATCTTCCTGCCTCAGCTTCCTGAGTGCCGGGATTACAAGCGTGTGCCACAACACCTGGCTCAACTCTGTGGTTTAATGAGGTCCTGTTTGAAAAGGTCTAAGGATGTAGCTCAGTGCAAAGGTCCTGAGTTCTATTCCCAGGAATACACACACACACACACACACACACACACACACACACACACACACACACACATGCACACACAGATTGTCTATTTTGGAGACATACTCAACCTCTCCATGTATTATCCATTCACCATTCTTTCAAACAAACATTTGGCACCAGTTATGCACTTCACCCTGGGCTCAGTGCTAAGGATACAGAAAATAAAATGCTGCTGTCCATATCATAGTTAACATTTGTTCAGCACTTAGAATGAGCTGTTGATGTTCTACCTCATTGACCATACAAGTACACGATGGATTAGGTGTTACTATTCCTTTTTAGGGGGGGTACTAGGAATCAAACCCAGGTCCTTGTGCTTGCCAGGCAGGCTCTTGTGCCACTGAGCTATACCCCTGGCGATTCCATTTGATAGACAGGGAAAGTAAAGCCTGAAGACGGAGCCAGCCAGAATGCGAACATGCGTTGTGAGTGCCCCAGGGGAAGGGGTACTCTGTGGGGGAAGGTGAACTTTGGAGAAATGCGGCCAGGACTTCCGGAGGAGAGGACATCCGGGCCAGGGCTTGAGAGTGGGGTCTAATTCAGTCACGCAGTGGTGGAGACAGTGCACAGCAGGGAGGAGTGGGCGAAGGCCTGGAGGGCGGCTGGTGTACACATGTGCTCATTGCGGAGGTGGGTGGTGGTCTGGAAGAAGCTGCACCCTCTCTCTGGACAGAGCCTCTGTCTCTCGGTGCCCTCACCCCCTCTTGCCCCCATCGGCCCACAGTAGGCATTTCGGTCATGATTCTGATGGTCATCAGAGTGTGGCGATCTGCGTGTGCCAAGATAAGATGCAGGGAGACTGCGTCAGACAGGCTGGCAAAGACATAGAAGCGTGAGAAGTTCGGAGAACAGATGGTTCCCTGTGGTCAGTATGTGCAGTTGTCGGGGGATTGGAGCTATAACCACATTTCCAGGGTGTACAATAGTGTGGTTGTTAGGCCACCAGGTCCCTCCTGGATCCCAGGGGCTCTGTGTGTGAGACAGACCTCCGGTGCCCTGCAGGGTGGTCATAGTGGTGGGGATGGCTTCAGGCCCCAGCAAGGCAAGATGGGAAGCTAGAGTAACAGAAATAGATCTACCCCTAGTCCCCGGTCGCTCCCATGCAGCCAGCCTGCCACCTGCTCAGGGAAACATGAGCAAGCTCCAGGAAGCGCTGAGATAGACAAAGGGTTTCAGACATGCAGGACAATACCTGATTCTATTTTAGCCAGGACAAGGCCTCTCCCATGGCCTGAGGCACTGGAGGAGCCACCAGAGCCACCAGGCCTGGCTTCATCTGCCAGAAACAACATTCACCCTGTGTAAAATCTGCATCTCAGTTCAAATAATTCTCTACACCAACCCACGATGTAGGTTCAGAGCAGTGGGGCTCTTTGTCCAGCGTCACCTAATATGTGAGTTAGTGACAGAAAACCTGGGCTCATTTCTAAGACTGTCCATGCCCTTGGTTCAGCCCTCCGTGCCCTGCAGCTGAGACAAAGTTCAGTGTTTCCAGGTTAGCTGGCTCCTGTTTGCTTGACAACCTTGGCCTCCTTCTGTAGCCCTTTTTGAAGGCATAGGCTTTTGAGAACTTTGCTGATTCTCTTTGGAGGCTGGGGGACTGTGCATCACCAGCAGCCACCAAATTCCCCGCCTTGATGAGTTCATCTTGAAGTCAAGTGTCCCCAGCCAGAGGGAAACCCCCAGCCGTCACAATGCAGGAACTGAGCCTTTGCCCAGCAATCACAGCCAGGGCCCCACTCCGCCAGGCCCTGTTCAGTTCCCGGTTTGCCCCACCCTTTCTCCTTCAATCACTAATAACACGGATCCTGATGGACTGTGAACAGTTCGTACAGGAAGGCAGTTGTCCTGCAGTCTACGCTGGAAACTTGCCTATAACACGTCCGCATGCTATCTCAAGAGAAGTCATAACCTGGAAACACCTACCTTGTACTTTGCCCGTTGACCCTCCGGGAGCTGCCATCAGAGAGCAACTGAAAGCCAGGGCTGACATGTGCCCGGTTTGTGAGAGCAGCTTGTCCTCTGAAGCAGATGGCTGATAAGGAGGTAGAGCTGGGGCTGGGACTGGGTACAAGGTGGCTTTTAGGAAGCTCAGACTAGAACATAGGGTAACCTGGTCTGAGCAGAGCCTGGGCCTGGAGCCCACAGGGTCTCGAGTGGCCCAAGCATGGCAGGGATGGCTGGACCTACCAGGCCAGGTATAAACTGCAAGCCGTGGGACTGTCCTGCCTAGTGGAGGGAAGACAAGGTATAGTAGGGCCAGTGGTCAAGTCCTTGATGGAGGAAGAGGGCAAGGATGTTCTCAAGGACAGAAGACTATGGGTCAGCAAGGCTGAGAAGGCTCACTGGGGCTGTTCTCAAGAAAACCACTCTCCCCACAGAAGAAGTGCCCTTCAGGGTGGCCAATTTGCCTGGAGACAGTAGGGTGAGGTGCAGCAGGGGGCTGGGCACCTGGCTGACAGCTCTGAGGATCCTGGACGCAGAATCAAATCCAGCACCCTGATGCCCGCTTCTCCTCTTCCGTCGCCTCTCCAGCTGGGTCCGCACGGTTTGTCACACGCGTGTTTACGTTCTCCCCTCTCCACACCCACCAAGGTGCTCTGAAGGTGCCTAGACATCCTTCAACAGCCGGTCCTCACTCTTTTCGTCTCAGCTCTCACCTCTCTTGCTTCACTCAGCAATGAGCCAGACTCAGCTGTTTTCAGATCCTCAATTACGCTCCACATTTCTAAAATTTCCAGGGAGTTCCCATGCTCTTGTGTCTCTTTATTGTCCATGCCTCCTCCTCCCCACTTTACTGGCTCAGGCTTGTTTATCTGTCAAGTTTCTAAGACTGAACTTCTTTTGTGAACTGTCATCACAGGCCGGCTTAGGTCCTCTGCTTGTGCCCTAGGCACCTGTGTCACGGTACATATTACAGTGCGTATTAGACGCTGCATTCACCGGATAACCTGCCTGTACCCCCACCAGACTGTAAGCTCCTTCAGGGCAGGGGCTGTTTGTTTGGTCCTGGTACCCAACGTATGTGTGGTGGAGCGAGACGGGTGTATGGGATGCCCATGAGATAATTCACAAGGTTCACAGCAAAGAGCCAAGTCCTGCTTCCAGCATGTTCCAGAGCTCGTCCTTGGAGAGTGAGCCATTGGTCAGTAATAAGGCAAAGAAGCAAATGGGCTTTTACCTCCATTGAGATCAAGATGAGGACCTAGGGATTCACCTCCGTAGAACCAGCCCTGCCCATGTGCTTTGGCTGCTGGAGGCTGCACAGGGATCCAGCGACCATTCTAATCCTAAAAGGGACCTGAGACTCACCTATAGGCAACCAGCTCAAGAACTACCTCCCAGCATCACCAAGCAGCAAGCCCCATCTCCTCATCTTCTAAGTCTCCATGCTAGCTCTTTTTAAAGGCATAACACAACATAAAATTAACCATCTCACTCACTTTTGTGTGTACGGCTCACATTATTAAGAATATTCACATTATTGTGCAACCAACTCCAGAACTTTTTCACCTTGCAGAACTAAAACTGCATTTACTAACCAGCTCCCCATTTTTCCTTTTCCCAAATCTCTGGCAACCACCATTCAATGTTTTTGAGAGTTTCACCGTTCTTGATACTTCGCAGAATGCGATCACACAGCATTCGTCTCATTGTGCTGACTGGCTTGTTTCCCTTAGTGCAATGTCCTCAGGTTTGGGGATGTTGTTTCATGTGTCAGCATTTACTTCCTTTTTAAGGCTGAATGCCATCCCATCGTAGGCGGAGACTCTGTTTACCCAGGCATTTGTCAACAAATGCCTGAGTTGCTTTCAACTGTGGCTATTGTGAGCAAAGCTGTATAAATATGAGTATACAGACGTCTCTTTGAAACCTTGCTTCCAATTCTTTCGGATACATACCCAGCAGTGGTCTTGCTGGATTGTACAGTCATTTTTTTTTTCTAGGAACTTCATACTGTTTTCCACACTGCCTGCGCTATTTACATTTCTTCCTTCTCTGTCTCTCTTTCTTTCTTTCTTTCTTTCTTTTTTTTTTTTTGTCTTTTTGAGACAGGGTCTCGCTATGCAGTTCAGGCTGGCCTTGAACTCACTTTGTAGCCCAAGCTGGCCTTGAACTCACAATGATCTTCCTGCCTCAGCCTTCTGAGTGCTGGGATTACAGGCGTTTGCCACCATGTTCGGCTTCTTTCTTGCTTTCTTTCTTGCTTCCTTCCTCTCTCTCTCTCTCTCTCTCTCTCTCTCTCTCTCTCTCTCTTTTTCTTTCTTTCTTTCTTGGCACTGGGAATTGAATTCAGGACCTTGCACTTGCCAGGCAGGTGCTTGTGCTGCTGAGGTATATCCCCGGCCCCATTTCTCCTGACAGTTCACAAATGTTCCATGTCTCAAGCTGACATCAGGTCCAGGCGATCTTGTTGAAAACCTGCTCGAGTTCTGCGAGAAGTCCATGTGCAGGGCTTTGGGAACTGCTCTGTGCATGTGCCCGGGATCTTGTAATTAACAGGTCATGCCTATTTTCCCAACCAGTTTTGCCATGCCCCGGCCTCTTATCTCCATTTCCCCCGAGAGATACTAATCCCCATAATTCTTTATGGAGTGCCTAGGGAGCAGAGGTCTCTGTCTTCTATAGATTCTTCAAAATCGAAGGGGCTGTAGACCCTACCTGCTGGGGATCATGTGTTCTCCAACTACCTTGGGGTGCTGTGGCTCAATGGCTGGGTTGAAGAAAGAAAAACCCAGGGTTCCTTGGAGGAGATGGTGATGTACATGGATAGGGAGGGGCATTGCAGGTTTCCCTGGGCCTCTTTAGTCATCAGAGCAGGAAATGAGGGCTTTGGCTGGTGTAGCCCCTCTCTGGGAGCCGGGACGGTCAAACCTCCAATGCCGTGAGTCAGGAACATTAGTTGCCTCACATGCAGAGCAGAGCCCAGGCAGAGGCTTGGTGCAATCTCTTGCCTAGTGTCCAGCCTTCTTGCTTGAAACAGGAACTCTTTCTCAGGCTGTTCCTGGGTTCTTCCTCAGATGACTTGGGTAGGTTTAAAGCATTATCAATTGCAACAGTTATAATCTTAGCTTCACTCCTTTGTCTCAGGGCCAGGGATATAGCTCAGCGGCACAAGCGCCTGCCTGGCAAGCGTGAGGTCTTGAGTTTGATTCTTGGTACCAAAAAAGAGAAAAGGAAACCAAACCAAAACAAAACAAAACTCCTTTGTCTCTCCTCTGGGTCCTGATTGTTGAACACTGAAATAACGGTGTCCAGCAATTGGGCCATAGGGGTCTGTGGCCCCATCTTAAATTTTTGTAGCTTACATTGAATATCTGGTCTGGGGATGTGGCTCAGTGGCACAAGTAACTGCCTGGCAAGCACAAAGTCCTGAGTTCGATTCTTGGTACCAAACACATTGAATATCTGGGGCTGACTGACAGATGAAATGAAGTGATGATCCTATTAGTGCCTCTCTTTCCCTGGAAGATGGATCTATATTAGTGTACTTGCAGAAGACCTCTGCTAATCAGTTATGAAACAAAGCTGGACTTTTTTTTTGTAGCCTGTAAGACTCCATCCACTTTATCATAATTAACAGATTTTTTTAACGCACATTTTCATCCCCATATAAGAGCACACTGAGTATTATAGTACTAGTTCGGCTCTGTTGAAGGGAGAACAGACACTCCAGGGTGGTTCCATTCCCTTTTCAAAGTATATTGCTCACCAGTATAATTTCTAGCCTCTTGTAGGAGTCATTGTCTTTCATCTGAGTTATAGCATGTTGTTAACATGAATGGAACATTTTGCCATGACACGTCAAAAGCAAGGATCAAAGTTTGGAACATACTGGGGTTCTTCGCACTGTTTTACATCTGCAACTGAAAAAGGGACCTGAACTGAAGTATTTCCTCAGGGCCCTGGGACTTCTCTTAGGGGCAGGTTAAATTGTGAATTAGAATAATAAAAATCACCACTTCCGGTTCTTCCTGGGGCTAAAAGCTGTCTGAGAAACATGCTAAGGGGGTTGAGGAACACTGGGCTTCCCTGGGGCACTAGGCTTTACTAGAGTTCCTGAGTCACTTGGAGAAGATGGAATTGATTTATCGGCCTGGGGGATATGAGAGGGAGGTGGAGGAGAACTTCCAATATCATCAAACAGATCAGAGAGACCTACAGCCCCCTGAGAGACTAGTTGGGGGGGGTGTCTCAGGACCAAGTCATCCAGAATATCTTTCTTCTCCTGCGGCCACTTTAAACACCACAGCTCCTGAGTATGCCCTTTGATGAGGATTACAAAAGCCTGTTACTTTACAAGGTAACATAGCAGCACCCCCAACCAAAACACAAGGCATTTCATTCCACCTTGCATGTTTTAAGCAGAAACACTGTAACTGGCCTTATGTTTAAGGGATGTTTAAAATAACATCCTGTACCCAACTCATGTCACCTACTAGATCATACCGGACTTTACAAAACCTGGATAGATATTTCTATTCGAGAACCTTGAAGCCAGGCCTGGAGGTGCACGCCTGTAATCCCAGGGTTACTGTACCCATTATCCTCAGGTTGTGGCAAAGGCTGCATAGTTTCTTCAAGGGACAATACACAGTCCTTCTTGTTGTTGTTTCTTTGTTTTGTTTTGTTTTTCTTCCAGTACCAGGAATCGAACTCATACCTTGCACTTGTCAGGCAGGTGCTGTGCCGCTGAGCTAAATCCCCAGCCCCTACACAGTCCTTCTTGTGGGAAGAAAGAGAAAGGTTCCTTTCTCTGGTTTTCCATAAACCCATATGCTGTTTAAAATCAGAGGCATAGCTTATAAGGCCAGTTATTAAAAAGAGAGAGAGAGAGAGAAAGAGAGAAAAGGTGACAGTGACTGGTGATGTATGTCCAGGTAAAATTTACTTAGTCAGGCAGTTGGCCACATGGCAAGGTAACGTAGCGGCATCCCCAACCAAAACACAAACCAAGAAAAAAAATCCATTTACAAACTAGGGAGTGTGGAGACCAGGCTAATTTAGCAAATCATACAATAAGGAAACACAGACAGCAAGGCATA